GAGCTCTGCCGGTGTAAGCCGGCTTTGTCCGTCCTGGAAAGTGAAAGTCCCGATATCTTGTGATTAGTACAGAGAGGATAACGTATGAAGGAGTCACATAATCATTTTATAGTATCTGAGGACAGACAGCTTTATATCTCACGTTGTCACAGACCACCTGGGGAGCAAATAGGAGAAGATGATTGTCGGGGGGGTTACCCAGAGACTTGAGACTTTCCCTGAAATAAGACGAATCTAACAACAACTAATAGATTTCTATTTTTTTTAGCAATAAAACGCCTGAAAACGTCACGGACAAAAATGATGGGACCCAGGGGGGTAACTAGAAATCGCAGGGTCCCATAGCAAAATTTTGTATGGGGCCCTGTGATTTCTAGATACGCCTCTTGCAGAACCCACCTGAGATCCCAAACAGCCCACCTGAGTGACCCTGCAGAGCCCAGCATGGACTCTCTATGGGGGGCTCTGCAGAGTCTCAGGACACCTCTTACCTGTCAGCCTCAATCTGCTGTCATACTTCTTTGCTGGTGGGAACTTCCTCCTCCTCCACCCTGGCCTCATCCTCCTCCTCCACCCTGGCCTCATCTTCCTCCTCCTCCACCCTGGCCTCATCTTCCTCCTCCTCCACCCTGGCCTCATCTTCCTCCTCCTCCACCCTGGCCTCATCTTCCTCCTCCTCCACCCTGGCCTCATCTTCCTCCTCCTCCACCCTGGCCTCATCTTCCTCCTCCTCCACCCTGGCCTCATCTTCCTCCTCCTCCACCCTGGCCTCATCTTCCTCCTCCTCCACCCTGGCCTCATCTTCCTCCTCCTCCACCCTGGCCTCATCTTCCTCCTCCTCCACCCTGGCCTCATCTTCCTCCTCCTCCACCCTGGCCTCATCTTCCTCCTCCTCCACCCTGGCCTCATCTTCCTCCTCCTCCACCCTGGCCTCATCTTCCTCCTCCTCCACCCTGGCCTCATCTTCCTCCTCCTCCACCCTGGCCTCATCTTCCTCCTCCTCCACCCTGGCCTCATCTTCCTCCTCCTCCACCCTGGCCTCATCTTCCTCCTCCTCCACCCTGGCCTCATCTTCCTCCTCCTCCACCCTGGCCTCATCTTCCTCCTCCTCCACCCTGGCCTCATCTTCCTCCTCCTCCACCCTGGCCTCATCTTCCTCCTCCTCCACCCTGGCCTCATCTTCCTCCTCCTCCACCCTGGCCTCATCTTCCTCCTCCTCCACCCTGGCCTCATCTTCCTCCTCCTCCACCCTGGCCTCATCTTCCTCCTCCTCCACCCTGGCCTCATCTTCCTCCTCCTCCACCCTGGCCTCATCTTCCTCCTCCTCCACCCTGGCCTCATCTTCCTCCTCCTCCACCCTGGCCTCATCTTCCTCCTCCTCCACCCTGGCCTCATCTTCCTCCTCCTCCACCCTGGCCTCATCTTCCTCCTCCTCCACCCTGGCCTCATCTTCCTCCTCCTCCACCCTGGCCTCATCTTCCTCCTCCTCCACCCTGGCCTCATCTTCCTCCTCCTCCACCCTGGCCTCATCTTCCTCCTCCTCCACCCTGGCCTCATCTTCCTCCTCCTCCACCCTGGCCTCATCTTCCTCCTCCTCCACCCTGGCCTCATCTTCCTCCTCCTCCACCCTGGCCTCATCTTCCTCCTCCTCCACCCTGGCCTCATCTTCCTCCTCCTCCACCCTGGCCTCATCTTCCTCCTCCTCCACCCTGGCCTCATCTTCCTCCTCCTCCACCCTGGCCTCATCTTCCTCCTCCTCCACCCTGGCCTCATCTTCCTCCTCCTCCACCCTGGCCTCATCTTCCTCCTCCTCCACCCTGGCCTCATCTTCCTCCTCCTCCACCCTGGCCTCATCTTCCTCCTCCTCCACCCTGGCCTCATCTTCCTCCTCCTCCACCCTGGCCTCATCTTCCTCCTCCTCCACCCTGGCCTCATCTTCCTCCTCCTCCACCCTGGCCTCATCTTCCTCCTCCTCCACCCTGGCCTCATCTTCCTCCTCCTCCACCCTGGCCTCATCTTCCTCCTCCTCCACCCTGGCCTCATCTTCCTCCTCCTCCACCCTGGCCTCATCTTCCTCCTCCTCCACCCTGGCCTCATCTTCCTCCTCCTCCACCCTGGCCTCATCTTCCTCCTCCTCCACCCTGGCCTCATCTTCCTCCTCCTCCACCCTGGCCTCATCTTCCTCCTCCTCCACCCTGGCCTCATCTTCCTCCTCCTCCACCCTGGCCTCATCTTCCTCCTCCTCCACCCTGGCCTCATCTTCCTCCTCCTCCACCCTGGCCTCATCTTCCTCCTCCTCCACCCTGGCCTCATCTTCCTCCTCCTCCACCCTGGCCTCATCTTCCTCCTCCTCCACCCTGGCCTCATCTTCCTCCTCCTCCACCCTGGCCTCATCTTCCTCCTCCTCCACCCTGGCCTCATCTTCCTCCTCCTCCACCCTGGCCTCATCTTCCTCCTCCTCCACCCTGGCCTCATCTTCCTCCTCCTCCACCCTGGCCTCATCTTCCTCCTCCTCCACCCTGGCCTCATCTTCCTCCTCCTCCACCCTGGCCTCATCTTCCTCCTCCTCCACCCTGGCCTCATCTTCCTCCTCCTCCACCCTGGCCTCATCTTCCTCCTCCTCCACCCTGGCCTCATCTTCCTCCTCCTCCACCCTGGCCTCATCTTCCTCCTCCTCCACCCTGGCCTCATCTTCCTCCTCCTCCACCCTGGCCTCATCTTCCTCCTCCTCCACCCTGGCCTCATCTTCCTCCTCCTCCACCCTGGCCTCATCTTCCTCCTCCTCCACCCTGGCCTCATCTTCCTCCTCCTCCACCCTGGCCTCATCTTCCTCCTCCTCCACCCTGGCCTCATCTTCCTCCTCCTCCACCCTGGCCTCATCTTCCTCCTCCTCCACCCTGGCCTCATCTTCCTCCTCCTCCACCCTGGCCTCATCTTCCTCCTCCTCCACCCT